AAGGGAAAAAAAACCTGCAGGAAAGCTTGAAAGAATCTTAAGATATATCCCACTTTTATTTTTATTTATTTAGAGACACAGTCTCGCTCTGTTGCCTGGGCTAGAGTGCCATGGCATCAGCCTAGCTCACAGCAACCTCAAATTCCTGGGCTCAAGCAATCCTCCTGCCTCAGTCTCCCAAGTAGCTGTGACTACAGGTGTGCACCAACACGCCTGGCTAATTTTTTTCTATTTTTAATAGAGATGAGGTCTCACTCTTGCTCACATTGGTCTTGGAACTCCTGAGCTCAAGTGATCTTCCACCCTCAGCCTTCCAGAGTGCTAGGATTACAGGAGTGAGCCACCAAGCCTAGCCCTGTATCCCAGTTTTAAACTGTGATGCCAAAGAAAAAAGCTTCCAACTTGATGGCCCTAATCTTCTGGGAAATCAGTGATTTCCATAAGTCAGAGTTTTTGTAAGAGAGGGCTGAATGAGGCCATCTTTAATGCCAACAACAAACTCCTTAGATCTAGACATCTGCCCCTGAACTATTTATTGAAATGCACATTGAAAACACTTTTATACATAAGCCCCACCTTATTCATTTCAGGAGCTGATGCAGAAAGGTACATGTAGTTATCTCAGAAATAAATAATTATGCAACCCAATACAATTCAAAAATTGGGCAAAACACTCATTATCCTCTCTCAGCATGACAGTGTACCTTGAAATATTATTTTGTTGTTTCTGAAATGGAGTACACCAATGTGTTCTTGGAGCTCTGAAGTTTTAACTACACCTAGTGACTTATTTTTATTTTTTATAATAACACAGAAAATATCTTACCAGTGAGAAAAACAAAATTTAACTTTTATGTTGATAATTCACAACCAATTTTAACAAAAAAGAATTTTTTTCTAGGATGATGTTTTTCACATTAGAGGCTGTGATCACCAGAGGATCTGTAGTTTTATTCTCAGCATCTGTGATACTTTTTTTTCCTTTAAAAGAGATTCATGTGTTTCTAAGGCTTAAAAATCATTGCTTAGGTTTAACCCTAGTTGGGCAAAAGGATATTTAACTGCAAGCCACTTGTGGTTTATTTAAAAAGCTTTTTAGGAAATCATTAGGACGGTGGTCCCACTGGAATATACTCAGGCGACCAAGGCAAGGACATAGCTCATCTCCTTTCACAGGGAACTGCACCCACTGCAGATGACACGCCCCAGAACATCTGGATCACACATTCATGCCCCCTTGGAATTGTCCTGTAGTCTCTTAGATAGTAAAGAAGATGCTACAATTAGAGAAATCATGAGGTAGCTTTTATTGCCTCTGGAGAGACTGGCTCAAGACTTTCTGCCCACCCAGAAGGGCTCCTAATTCACGTGGAAGGGTCGCAGCCATGAACTTGGCCAGTCAAATCATACCTGGAATGGTCAGTGGTTTCAGCAAGAAAGCACAGAGGAGAACTTCTTGTCTCCCTTTGCCTTCAGCCTGGCACCCTGGAGAACCATACTTAACCCCCCTACTAGTTCTCACAGATCTCCTGGCTCAGGGGATCAGGATTACTGGTCTAGTCAAAGGAAAAGTGCAGAGGGGGAAATGCTTGCACTGTTGCGTGCCTTTTCCAAGTAACATTTTTTTTTTTTTGAGACAGAGTCTTACTTTGTTGCACAAACTAGAGTGAGTGATGTGGCGTCAGCCTAGCTCACAGCAACCTCAATCTTCTGGGATCAAGCGATCCTATTGCCTCAGCCTCCCGAGTAGCTGGGACTACAGGCATGTGCCACCATGCCCGGCTAATTTTTTCTATATATATTTTTAGTTGGTCAATTAATTTATTTTTATTTTTAGTAGAGACAGGGTCTTGCTCAGGTTGGTTTCGAACTCCTGACCTTCAGGGATCCTCCCGCCTGGGCCTCCCAGAGTGCTAGGATTACAGGTGTGAGCCACTGCGCCAGGTCCCATATTTTTCTTTCTTAAAGCTCAAGGTTTGGGGAGTTATTCTGCCTGGGAGTATGGATAGCAGTGGTCTGTGTGCTCACTGCAATCTTTGGCTAGGAGCCTGGGATGAATCCACTTGTGATCAGTTGTAGCTGAAGTCCATGGAAGGCAGGGCAATAGTTTGTATTCGGGGGTGGTAATAAGTACTTGCCCTACCTCTCTTTTGTCGTGAAGAGCAAATTGAATTAAACATGAGAAAGTACTTTGTAAACTACTCAAGGCTACAGGACTGGGAGGTACTAATCACAATGACATGAAGACACATGGTTTAAAGGAATGAGCCACGGTTTTATCGTTAGAAGACCTGGAATTGGGTCTTGGTTTACCCACTAGCTGTGTGACCTTGGACAAAGTCGAGTCTTTCCATCTTTCAGAGCTTATTTTGTTGGTTTTATTTTCTTGTGGTGGGGGAGTCCATTTGTGAAAGTGGGAATCCTTGCCCTACCTACCTCACAGGGTTCTGATCATATCAAAATAGAAAACATAAGAAAGTTCTTTGTGAACTGTAAAAGGACCATTCTTAGCAATTCTTACAATGTTCAGATCTCTCCACGGCCACAGCACCAACTGCCTGAAATTGGTCCCACAGACATCTTAAGCACAACAAGTCCAAATAACAACAACTCATTTATCTTTCTCCCCAAACCTGTTCCTTTCCTGGGTTCTTTAGCTTGGCACTACCACTGGTTGGAGGAACATTTAAAAACTATATGCATTGTTTTCCAACAATTATCAAATCAGGGTGTCTGAGAAACCACAGACCAAGGGCCACTGTTAAGATTTTACAAGTTTTATAATTTACTTATGTTTGTTAATTGTATCATCTCCTGCTCCTCCATAGTAACTAGAAGTGAAAGAAACTATGTGTAGAGCCAGGCTGTTCTCAGCAGGGAGTTCTTCTCACGTTTTTCTTTCTTCCATGTGGTGGATCCCAAGGACTTGTTTTCCCTTCTTTTAGTAGCCACCATCACCCAGTCCATTCCTTTGGGGTTCTCTGCTTCCTGAGAGGAAACATGGGCTCCCCAACAATCAGCCTTCCCGGTATCCCTTAAAACAAGAACACACTCTTTCAATGTGGAGGATTTTTACTGTTCATCACTATGGGAAAATAGATAGGGGATAAACTAAAATACCAAAAGATGAGGAAGCTGTAAAGCTGACAACGTTTTCATATTACTGAGCCCTCCTCTAGCTCCTAACTCACTCTGAGATACTGATAGTAAATGAAAGTCTCTTCAGTTCTTGTTTTCGGCTTTTATTCCTGAAAGTTGTTCTTCTCAACCATCACCTCCCTCCACCCCCACATTTCCCCTAGGTGTTGGGCTCCCTGCAGGCAAGTAACTGTGTCTGAGTTCTTTTCGATATTCTCCGTGCTTAGCACAGAGCCTGGCACATAGGACTAACACAGATGGAGCACTTGCTATGTGCTAAGTACTGTATGAAGCCTTTACACAGATTTTTTCACTTATTTCTCAGATGATCCTTTGAAGTAGTTACTGTTAATACTATGTCCCCATTTTACAGAAAATGAAACTGAGGCACAGAGAGGTGAAGTAAGTTGCCCAAGGACATACAGCTGGTAAGTAGCAGAGCTGGGATTCAATCTCACGCAGTCTGACTCCAGAGCCCATATTCTTACCCACTACGGTGGACATTTAATACATTGGCTGAATGTATTAAATGAATTATTTTCCTCACCTCCCACTCCATGACACCCTTTTCCTGTGTCTCTAAAATGTCCCTTCTTCACCTGAGTCCTGTCCTTTCCCTAGTCTAAACTCTCAACTATTACTTGCATTTTACAATAGCCTGATAATTGCTCTTCACGGGACTTAGAGTCTCAGTGTCTGTTGAGAATTTGATTGACGAAAGCTATTGTTAATCTACCCAGATTAACAACCACATACACAAAAATTTCGTGTATAATGCTGGGGGTTGAGGGGCAGGGAGAGGACCACAGATCATCTAAAACCCATCCAAGAACCAATAGGTTCCCTTCAGGCGGCGGCAGTGGTGGGAGTGTGAAAGTTGAAATTCCTCTGCAAGACTTAACAGGCCAGGTCTACTTTTCTAGCCTCATCTCCAGTCACACACCCTAAATTTAGGGCTTAAGCAAACAGGGCAAACACATTCACATCTCTACGCATTTTCTTTCGAAGTTCTTGCTACTTGGAATACTCCACCCCTACCTGATGCATTTTTCATCAAAGTTCAGTTCGAACGTTACCGCTCAGAACCCTCGACACCCCAATCCCTCCTTCTCTGTTAGAAAAGCGGAATGGCGCCCTCATCTGTGTCTATAACACGGTTTATACCTATGATAGCATTTAACTCATTATTAGTTGCTAAGGAGTCTGTCTCCCTCCAGAGCTAGGATGGTATGTACATCATTCATCACTGTTCCCCCGATATTCTATAGCGTGCATGACACAATAAGTGCTCCCAGGATTTACTTAATTAGTTTTTGGGTAGCTCGGCTCACATTCTGAACCAGAGAGTTAACGACAGGTGTGGAAAAGGCTAACACACGTAAGGGGAGAGCTGAGCGATCACAGTCCTGCTTGGCAGAGGGGGAAGGGGAAACCAGCCTAAGACAGTGAGAGCGTGGCCAGCATTTGAGAGCACGGGCGAAGGTTCGCGTTGCTCGTGCGGCGGCCGGATGACGAAAGCGCCGGCAATCAGATGTGTCTCGGGGTCACCAGGAAGGAGCGCGCGCTGCACTGTGGGATCGGCGCGACGGCCGGCAGCACTGCACGCCGGGATTTGTAGTCCCGCCCCTTGAGAGGCCCCTCAAGTCACTTACGTTCGGCTACGCTTAACTACGTCTTCACAGATGAGGTCCAGTCTTTGGTCGTTTAGCACAAAACAGAGAGGTTCTCCAGGGTAAGTCTACCTAATACTACTCTCCAGAGCGAGCCTGGTTTCGGCGATGGCTGCCAGGAAAGCGCATTGGGTGCAGCTGCGCGTGCGCAATCTTGCGCGCCTGTCGCCCCGTGAGGCCAACTGGAGCCGGGCGGCGCAGGCGCAGTGTCCCCGGGCCAAGATGGCGACGCGGTGTTCCGCACGCTGGTTGCTGGTGGCAGTGGGGACCCCCAGGCTGCCGGCTGCAGCGGGGAGAGGGGCCCGGCCGCTTAGGGAGGGCGTGGTGGGGGCGTCCCTGAGCCGCAAGCTGAGCGTCACTGCCTTCGCGCCTTACCTGGGCGCTCGTGGCCCCCGGGCGCTGCTGACATTGAGACCCGGTGTCAGCCTCACAGGTGAGGGCAGGCTTCAGCGCCCGAGTGGCGGCTTCAGGGCCTGGGAGGGAGTGACTCTCCTCGCCCTGGCTATCGCTACGGGGGTGGCGAGGTGGAGGGTGTCTTACGCCCCAGATGCAGAATTGCTGGAGAGACAGGCTAGCAGGAGGCAGAGAGGCCCAAGTAGCTACTCAGAAGACGTCAAGTGAGGGAGAGCTGCATGGACCCAGGGTGGCGGTAGTGAATCAATCGCCCCGCAGGTCGTGAACCTTCACCTTTCTGTTAACGTTTCTGGAAGCCGCTGTTCTTTTGCCTCGTTCCTTTCCCATTTCTCCTCCTAGGCTGTAGCGTAAGGGAAGAGGTAACTGCCTTCGGTGAGTGCTATGCACTTTGTGCTTTGTCTCACTTGATGGTAACAACAACCCTGCAAGATGCCAGTCATCGTCCCTATTTTAAAGAACGGGAAACTGAGGATCTGACAGAGAAATTGACCGGCCCAAGGTCATAAAGTTAGATCAGAAGAGTTGTCTCAAACCTGGAGCTGTCATTTCTTAGCTTACCCTTTCCACCACATGGTGCAAATTGAAGGGCACAGTTAGTCTTTTTTAGAAGTCCTTAAATTGGTAATTGTAATAATAATACAGCCTAACATTTATCGTGCACTTACGATTTACCAGGCATGGTTTATCTCCTTACATCACATTTTCCACGTGAAAGGCACTGTAATTAGTCCATTTTATAAAGAAACCTAGGCTTAGATATTAAACAACTTGTATAATAATAGAATGTCACAAAGTGGTAGAGCCTTGGTTTGAAAACTGGGGCCCTCTTAATTGCTGGACGTGATGTTGAATTATGTATAAAGCCTTGATGTGCTTACCCATAACGTTTTCACATACTGTATTTTGGGTGACTTCCATTTTAGTGAGAGAAGGAAGGAAATACTGAACAACCTGCCATGTGCCTGAGTTGTGCTAGTTATTTTGTGTTCTGTAGAATTTGTGACAGTAGTACTTAAGTTATCAGTAAATTTATAAGATTAATTAATTAAAGGGCCCTGACAAGATAATTTACACAAGATAACTTCCTTTTGTGATCCAGTTTTGTAATGCTTACATAACAGGCAGTGACTAAAATATTGATAATTTGCAGTGTAAAGAGCCTGGGCTTCAGGGGTTAACAGACTTGCTTTCACCAGTGTGTGTGACCAGGGTGTATTATTTAACCCCGTTGAGCCTCTTTCCTTAACCATGAGCATTCATTCATTCATTCACAGGTCTTTATTGAGGCCTATTTTATGCCAGCCATCACTCTAGGCACTGAGGATACATAACAGCAGAGAACAAAGAGATTGGATGTGGGTTTGGTGACTTGTTTTCTTAAGCTAAATTTGTTCATATTAAATCTATACAAGTTTGAGAAGCATTCTTTATTATTGTGTCTGTATATGTGAGAGAAAGAGACAGGCAGGCACTAAATATTAAGCCTTATGTGGGGCCATTACTAAGGAACTGCAGTCAGCTATCCTTTCCTCCAAGTGAGCCCATAGCTTGCTGTGGGCATATTTTGTATCATGTATTTCGTATCGTGTGATACACATGTGAGAGGCAGTATCCTTCAAGGTGCAGTCTGTTATCACATCTAAAATCATTAACTCAGCTCTCAAATGCTGGTCTACAATCTCATCTCAAATCTAGTAGTGCAATTACACAACATAAAAACAACACTTTAGGGGCTGGGCGTGGTGGCTTACGCCTGTAATCCTAGCACTCTGGGAGGGAGGCGGGTGGATCACTCAAGGTCAGTAGTTCGAAACCAGCCTGATCAAGAGTGAGACCCCCGTCTCTACTAAAAAAATAGAAAGAAATTAATTGGCCAACTAAAAATATATAGAAAAAATTAGCCGGGCATGGTGGCACATGCCTGTAGTTGCAGCTACTCAGGAGGCTGAGGCAGGAGGATTGCTTGAGCCCAGGAGATTGAGGTTGCTGTGAGCTAGCTGACGCCATGGCACTCTAGCCCGAGCAACAGAGTGAGACTCTGTCTCAAAATAAAAAACACTTGGCTGAGCGTGGTGGCTCATGCCTGTAATCCTAGCACTTTGGGAGGCTGAGGTAGGAGGATTTCTTGAGCCCAGAAGTTCAAGAGCAACCTGAGCAACATAGCAATTCTGCATCTTCACAAAATATAGAAAAATTAGCTGAGTGTGGAGGCTTGTACGTGTAGTCCCAGCTACTTGAGAGGCTGAAGCAGGATTGCTTGAGCTCAGGACTTTGAGGTTGCAGTGAGCTATGATGACACTACTGCACTCTAGCCCAGGTGGTAGAGCCAGATCCTGTCTTAAAACAAAATGAAAAAACAAACAAACAAACAAAAAAAACTACTTTTAATCTGACTTTTCTTCCAAGCAGAAAGAAGGCAGTTTTTGATACTGGGTTGGCCATTCTTGGAATGACTATGAGGCTAATAATACTATGGGTTCTAAAAAGGGCAAGACATTTACTGGTCATATGTTGGGGAAAAATTGCCTATTAAATGAAGTTTCTCTAATTATTGCTAGTCATTGATGCCTTTTGGATAATACCAAAAAATCATCAAACTTTTAATAGTTAAATGTGATTTGTCATGTGAAGCACATGAAAATACCCAGCATCAGCTTCACACGTTAGTATCTCCCATTCTAACTTGAGTCCAAGTCTTCTGCCCAGAGTATTGAAGCCATAGCTGCTATAGGCAACTACCGAGCCTCAGCCTTCTGGCATTGGAAGTAGTAGTGATGGAGAGGCTGGACCAGGCCATAGTAACCCCACACTTCTGAGAAAAGAGGGGGTTGAGTACAGACTCATTAATAAATCAGACTTAGTGTCTTCTCAAGTCTGACTGAAGAAACACAATAGTGATCTCCTAACCTATGCTACTTCTGGTTTGCTTTTTGTATTCCATGAGTATTGAGTATATCAAAAACATCCGTTTATTTCCTGTGTCTGCTCTTAATCATTCTGACCATCCCTACTTGCTCTCCTTTCTGATTATCCCTTATCTTGCCTTCTTGCCTGTGGTCTGATTGTATTTTGTACTCATTAACTTTGAGTAGTCTCCCAATCCTGAGTATGCAAATCCAGTCAGTTCCCTGTTTTAACACAGTGGCTCCCTATTGCCTTTAGGATAAAATCCAGAGTTCTTAGCATAGCCCTTCTGCTCATCCCTAGGCATCATTGGGCATTATCGTCTCTAGCCACCACTGCCACCCGCAGCCCCCACGCATACAGTCTCTAGTTGAGTCATAATATCTGCAGTTCCTAAATGCACAAGGTCCTTATTATTTACTTTCATCTGAACCTCCCCAAACCGAAGCTATCATATAATTTAGCAGCCAAACAGGGCACTTGTGAAAGTGAAAGGAGATGCTGTCACAAATTACTCCAGGGCCCCAGGGGTAAATCTGGATGGATTCACTCCTCTTGAGCCTAGCCAATTTCTATAGCTTAACCTCAGATGATCTAGAAGCCCTGACTTCTTAGACTTGGTTTCCAATGGTTCTCAGCATGGGACATTTTAGCCCCCCTCCCCCGGGGGACATATGGCGGTGTTTGGAGATACTGGTTATAGTTGCCAACTTGGGGGGGGGGGCTTCTAAGTTTCTGACACATGTGTCTGGGGTGAGGCCTAAAAATTTGCATTTTCCACAAGCTAATGGTGCTGCTGGTCCAGTCTGAGATCCACTTCATAAGCAGATCTCCAAGGCTTCATGAGAAGGAAAAGAATATAGGGAACTGTCAAGCATTAAGTGAGACAGAAGCACATGAAAATACCCAGCATACATAGACAGTGTGAGAAGGGAACTGAATTCCACTTTAGTCGTCTCCTGGTCTGGAAGAACATTCCTTTAGTGGTGTGCTGAGACTACAATGGTAGCATAATCCAGCAGAATCAGCTGTACCCAATACACTGCAGTTTTATATTAATTGCATATGGGGGCTTTAGCAATTTTGAAGCACAGTGAGTTTGCTCTGCAGGGCGCTTGGAGGGGAATAGGCCCTAAACTGTGGCCTGTTTGTTCTTTTCATAGGTATATTCTGGCTGGTCGTATACTCACAGTTTTCTTTGTTGAGCACATTCCCAGAGTGATTTTCTTTCTTTTTTTTTTTTCCTTTTCAGGAACAAAAAGTTACCCTTTTGTTTGTACTGCCTTCTTCCACACGAGCGCCCCTTTGGCAAAAGAAGATTATTACCAGATATTAGGAGTGCCCCGAAATGCCAGCCAGAAAGAGATCAAGAAAGCCTATTACCAGGTCTGTATGGGAGTCAGATTTTAGTGACAAGATTGTGGAAGGAATGCTGTTGATGTAGCGTGATTCTGTTCAGTACTATGCACGTGCGCGAGTGGCTAGGTGCAGGCAGCTGATAGCAGAGACTGATGTGGTGAAGGTGGACTTGGCTGGATCGTGTCATTCAGTGCACCAGCCAAGTGGTTAATGCTTCAGGAAAAAAGTGGAGATTCCAAACCACAGATTTTAAAGGTATTTTTCCAGAGTGGTTTTGTAATTAAATTTATTCTCTACCTCCTGAATTGGTAGGTATACTGATCTAAGTTTTAGAGAGTCTTTCTTTGCATGCATATAAAAGTTTATGAGTTTAGAATTATTTCTTTTCTTAACCCAGAAAATGTGAGATTCCCATTGTCGTATCCCAGAATGTATTAGGGCTAACGAAAGTGCTTTGTTTTTTTTTTTTTATTTTTTTTTTATTTTTTTATTTTTTGAGACAGAGTCTCGCTTTGTTGTCCAGGCTAGAGTGAGTGCCGTGGCGTCAGCCTAGCTCACAGCAACCTCAAACTCCTGGGCTCGAGCGATCCTTCTGCCTCAGCCTCCCTAGTAGCTGGGACTACAGGCTTGCGCCACCATGCCCGGCTAATTTTTTATATATATCAGTTGGCCAATTAATTTCTTTCTATTTATAGTAGAGACGGGGTCTTGCTCTTGCTCAGGCTGGTTTTGAACTCCTGACCTTGAGCAATCCGCCCGCCTCGGCCTCCCAAGAGCTAGGATTACAGGCGTGAGCCACCGCGCCCGGCCGAAAGTGCTTTGTGAGATGTCCAGACCAACAGTTCCCAGACTTGTAGTTTGCTGTGGCCAATAAAATATATATTAGGGGCACCAACGTGGGACTGACAGCTTTTTGTAAGTGCACAGTTTGCTGGAGTTGTGCAGCCATCACCACAATCAATTTTAGAATATTTTCATCACCTGAAAGAAACACTGTACCCATGAGCACTTACTCCTCATTGTCTTCTCAGTCCCTGGCAGCTACTAATCTACTTTCTGTCTCCATGGATTTGCCTGTTCTGGATCTTTCCTATAAATGGAATCAAACAATATGTGGCCACTGTGACCAGCTTCTTTCACTGAACATAATGTTTCCAAGGTCTATCTATGTTGTAGCATGTGTCATGGCTTCATTCCTTTTTATGATCAAATAATATTCCATTGTGTGACTGGATAGGTTATGTTTTGTTTATTCACCATTTGATTGACATTTGGATATCTTCCACTTTTTGGCTATTATGAACAGTGCTGCTATAAACATTCATGTATAAGTTTTTGTGTAGATATAAGATATTTTCATTTCACTTAGGAGTGTAGTTGCTGGGTCATGTGGTAACTGGATATTTTACCTTTTGGAACTGCCAGCCTTTTTCAAAGCAGCTGCACCATTTTAGATTCTTTTTTTGAGGCAGGGTCTTGCTCTGTCACCCAGGCTGGAGTGCAGTAGTATGATCATAGCTTAATAGCTCACTCCAGCCTCAAACTCCTGGGCTCGAACAATCCTCCTGCCTCAGCCTCCTAAGTTGCTAGGACTACAGGCACATGCCACCACATCTGACTATGTTTAAATTTTTCTATAGAGACAGAGTGTTTCTGGTAGCTTCTGTCAGCATCCTCATTCCTCCTGGATACCAGAGTTGGGTGGTACATGACCAAGTGTGTGGTTTTGTTTTGTTTTATTGCAGGTTTAGTGACTTTATATTGCTTTCTTTTGCTATTGGGGAAGATTGAGAATTAGCAGTTAGTCTTGACTGTTAGCATAAAGAAAGGACTTTATAGGGACATGGTATCTAGTCTCAGTTATTTGCTAGGCTGCTTTGTAGAAGAGGCATGAAAGATACCTGTAACACCAGAAGTGGAGGCATTTCAGCTCACTCTGGCAAAGAGCTTCCTAACAAGGAAAGCTGATGGTTCGGGCACCCTCCATCTTGGGTGGTCGTGAGCTCCCATCACTGGAAGTAATCCACTGATGGTTCTCAAACTTGAGTAATATACTGATCCCCCTTTAAACAACAATTTCATGTACTAGATAATGTTGTTTTTCTAAAATCAGGTTGTTCCTCATGTCATAGTGACTGTACCTGTGTCTCCAACTTAGGACTTTTTGAGTTGGTGCCATCCATGCAGCCCTTTGATGTCTCAATTCACCTAGTACTTTTCTGAATTTCGATTCCTTTGTGTCCTTAGTTTGTACCATGAGCCATGACATCATTTTGTCTTTGCTAGGCACAAATGTATTATTTATGTGTGATGTCTCTCTTTATGCTTTTCACATAAGCCGTGGGCACAGTGGCTTATGTGCAAGCTCTGAAGTTGCCTGCAGTGCTGTATTTTTAAAGTGGCCATCCTGGCAACCTGGGGTATACTGATGTCAGTAATTTGTGCCTATCATTGAAATTTTAATTCCTGTTAGAACCAGTTAGGTGCCCTCCCCCCTCACCCCCACCCCCAGTGTGTTCTTATGCGCCCTATTAAGTTCCAGTAATAGGTGATGCTGAATGTTAATATGTTCCTTTGCTTGTGCGAGCTTTTTGTTTTCATCTGTGTTACTTCATTTTATCCTCACCACAGCACTGTGAAGTAGGTGTTGTTATTATTGCCATCTTACAGATGCGGAACTGGCTTACAAAGGTGTGGGATCATGCCCAAGGTCTCACAGTTAACAAATGGTGGATCAGGGTGGTCTGACTGTGGCCTAACTGCAGCTGAGGTGGACAGCCAGCTGATGGCAGGGACAGGCCAGGTTACTGCCTGTCACTTTCAGCTTCATGATTCTGGTGATGCAGAGACTGGGAAGGTGTTAGGAGGAGGCACAAACACAGCAGACACCTACAGGGCACTTGGCACACACAGCCCGCTGTTTTGGAGCTGCTCAGCACACACGTGCTCTGGACAGCCAAGGGAGATTTATTTTGTCTTTTTAATATTTAAAGCTATGTTTTGAATAGGTAATACATTCCCTTTGTTCAGAATTCAGAAGTATGAATGAGCATTCAGTAAAAAGTCTTCCTCCTTCCTATTCACCCTCATCCCTCCTGTAGCAATCAGTGTTATCAACTTAATGTGCACAATCCAAAAATAATTTCCACAGCAGAGACATCTATTTACCTATCCGGTCATTTTCTCCCCCCCCCCCCTTTTTTTTAGAGACAGAGTCTCGCTTTGCTGCCCAGGCTAGAGTGAGTGCCGTGGCATTAGCCTAGCTCACAGCAACCTCAAACTCCTGGGCTCAAGCGATCCTGCTGCCTCAGCCTCCTGAGTAGCTGGGACTACAGGCATGCGCCACCATGCCCAGCTGATTTTTTCTATATATATTAATTGGCCAATTAATTTCTTTCTATTTATAGTAGGGAGGGGGTCTCACTCTTGCTCAGGCTGATTTCAAACTCCTGACCTTGAGCGATCTGCCCACCTCTAGGATTACAGGCGTGAGCCACCACGCCCGGCCTCATTTATTTATTTTTTAGAGACATGGTCTCTCTCTGTTGCCCAGGCTGAGTGCAGTGGCATAGCTCACTGCAGTCTGGAACCCCTGGGCTCAAGCGATCCTCCTGCTTCAGCCTCCCAAAGTGCTAGGATCACAGGTGTGAGCCACCATGCCTGCCTTGGTCATTATTTTTGGTAGAGACTTGTGGTTGAAAAATGTGTACGGACATCAGATTTGAGAAAATGATTTATTTTAAAGTCTTAAATCTTGCTTTATGAATGCTGTTGGTTGCTAGGTTTTAAGAGAGATAGATAACTGTTACAAAGGAGGCATAATTGTGACTGATATTTGGGGTTCTGTGTCCACAGTAATTTACTGTTTTTTCCCTTAGCTTGCCAAGAAATATCACCCTGACACGAATAAGGATGATCCCAAAGCCAAGGAGAAGTTCTCCCAGCTGGCAGAGGCCTATGAGGTAATATGACCGATGTGTGTGCAGTTGCCATCATTCAGCTGTGTGCGTGAATCAGAGTTTGCATTGCCTCACAGGACAGCCTGGTGTATGTGCTGTGTGACGCTGTGTCCTTGTACCTAATCACCTTGTAGAAAAGAGATTCCAAGGTATACTGACTTGGACTCTCAAGAAGAACACGATCGTACCAATAAAGCTCCCCAGGTAATTTAGACTGTAGCTAGGCTTGGGAACTCTGGGTTGCATCAGTTAATTTAGCCCTTATTTGGTAATAACTCCCCTCCCCTTTGGGGCATTGCTACCTGATAGGGATGGTGGCTGTTTTTTTTTTTTGGTTTTTTTTTTTTTGGAGACAGAGTCTCACTTTGTTGCCCAGGCTAGAGTGAGTGCCATGGCATCAGCCTAGCTCACAGCAACCTCAAACTCCTGGGCTCAGGCAATCCTCCTGCCTCAGCCTCCTAAGTACCTGGGACTACAGGCATGTGCCACCATGCCTGGCTAATTTTTTGATATATATATTTTTAGTTGTCCAATTGATTTCTTTCTATTTCTAGTAGAGACGGGGCTTGCTCAGGCTTGTTTCGAACTCCTGACCTCGAGCAATCCGCCCGCCTCGGCCTCCCAGAGTGCTAGGATTATAGGGGTGAGCCACCGCGCCCGGCCGATGGTGGCTGTTTTAAAAGTAGAAGCCCTTCATTGCCCTGGAAGAGTTTACATTGTAATCAGAGGACAAAGCGTACATCTATAAAACAACTAGTGACCAATTCCAGAGTTATCTGAAAGTGGACCTTCTTCCCTGACTTTGACCATCCTGAAGGGGTTCAGGATATATAGGAGCTCATATATCCACAGGAATAGACAGCCACATGTAACGACAGCCTCAACTCAGTAAACCTTCCAAGTAGCTGGGACCATAGGCGTGTACCACTGCGCCTGGCTAATTTTTAAATTTCTTGTTTGGTTTTTGTTTTTGTTTTTTGAGACAGTCTCACTCTGTTGCCCGGGCTAGAGTGCTGTGGCATCAGCCTAGCTCACAGTAACCTCAAACTCCTGGGCTCAAGCGATCCTCCTGCCTCAGCCTCCCGAATAGCTGGGCTACAGGCATGTGCCACCATGCCCGGCTATTTTTTCTATAATATTTTTAGTTGTCTAGCTAATATCTTTCTATTTTTATAGGAGACGGGGTCTCGCTCTTGCTCAGGCTGGTCTCGAACTCCTGACCATGAGCAATCCTCCTGCTTTGGCCTCCCAGAGTGCTAGGATTACAGGCGTGAGCCACTGCGCCTAGCCTAATTTTTAAATTTG